ATATTCCGTAGTCAGGCGGAGCATTGGGGCACCACTGAAGAGTTTCCAGCCAACTCCCTCCACGCCTCACATTACGCATTGTCTTACATTATTGTAACACAACACAAAGCTGACTAACGCAACTAATAGACTAACTGCAAATTATTTCAATGTACAGAGTATCTCCTGGACTGTGTACAGTTCTTTAGGTTGTACCCAAAGGTTCGCTCTCTCAGGTTGCTCCTAAAGATTCACTCCAGAGAGATGAACTTGAAAGCACACTTACATGTAAACCTGTACAAGATCACTATTTGGAGTCAGACAGACAACTGTGACATTGGGCAAACACGTGCACCTCCGTTTCCTCTTCTGGAGCCTCGTTACATGTACCTTTGCACATCCCTCAAGACCGGATTAAGTTCCTGCCACAGATTAAAAGTATAACCGTGCAGTTTCAATCAATTGCAGCCTGCTTCTCTGGTGCCAAATGCACAGGGCTCTCTTACAAAATATTCTCTCTGTGCGGAAACCACATTTCAGTTGCACTTCAGTTGCTGTTTTTGAGTGGTGATTGTATTTTGACAAGCAGAAATTTGTCCATGTGGCTCTGGAGGCTTGTGCAAAGTTGTTACGAAGGGCACAGAAGCGTTCACTTCATCCTTCACTTCAATTTTCCCTTTCACTACATGGATGCACTTCCCTGCCGGTAGTTTGACAGATTTTTCTCTTCTTCACTCCACCAGAACTTTCGCAAAATTCATGCAACATCGCATTGCTGTTTGACACATTTTTGTTCATCCTGGCAAACTTGTTGCATGCATCTTTATCCTACATTGTATGTGTATGTTTACTTAAACAGTTCACTGCTTGGCTCTCCTCCCAATTATTCAGCTTCCTATTGCATAGTATCTGAAAACAGGGTGGGTAGATCAGATATTTTTCACTCTTTGATAGTGATTTAACGTAAAGTGTTTACTGGTCAAACATTTAACAAAAGCAAGAGAAATTGGATGGTATTCGTTTCAAATGAAATGAACAATCCGCCTCGAGCTGAAGTGCACCCCCAGACGGTGAAAGAAAGACAGGTGGTTACAAGCAGGTTCTTGCACGCGTTCTGCGTGTACACAAAGACCATGCATGCTGGAATAAATTAGTTATGCGTACTCAGTGTGCTCCATGTCGGACAGGCATATATTTGCACGTCTATGGGTTGAGTAAAAAAAAGAGCCCACTTTTGTTCCGCTCGGAGCGGATAATGTACTTTAAAGGGTACAAGTTGCATATAGACAGAAGTTTGTTAACATTTTTGCACTACGTTCAAACCACAATATATTGTTTCTTTTTTCCATTTTTGCATTTTGCATACTTTTTCGCCAAAAAGCTTTATGTCCGTTCCCTCAAAAAGTAGGGTAGGTACAAGTAGGGAAACAGGAAGCACAAGTTTTTTGTGGCTTACTAAACTCTTCTCAGTCGTGTTCCTATGCTTTTCCGTTGCCCACCTAGCGTTGGTTATGATCAACTTGCTGATAAGTTAGGATATTGCTGAGCCACATTTCACAGAAAACCAATCCTAGGCCTAATATTGCTGGAAACTCAGGTTTGCAGCTAGAATACCTTGCAGTTGTTTGCTTTTGGCTGATTTTCTGCTGGTATTTGCTAAGAACTTTAATTTTAAACAGATCCTGCTTGTAATCTATAGTTTCTCTCTCTCTCGCAACTGACTCATTGTTTACATTTTCCATGTAACCTGCACCGCACTTATTACATGCCTTTTGAATCCGTCTGTTGTCCAAAAGTGGTTTACATTTGTCACTTAAAGTGTTAGTCTTAAAGTTCTTCAAGTTGAAAAAGGTAAGTTACATAAAATGATGTTCTCCAGGTATACATGTATATGTTGGAACATTAAGGACACAAATACGTCGTGAACTAAACACACTAAATGATAACCTTGATAACTAGCAGACACCTGTCATACATGTATTTATATCCAACTGTTCAGAACTTTGCTGCACTCAGAACCCAGTTTTTATCTCTTGGTATGACGGTTTAATGTTCCAGTTGGAGAATGACAGACAGTTTTTGTTACTGCACAGAGTTTAGCCGACCTGGGGAGGACCCCATCAAAATTATGGAGTCGTTCGTTTGCTTGGTTGCTTGGTTGGTTTTGTTGCAGGTGAATTGTCCTCAAATTTCCAAGTCTCTGTTGATACGATTGAAATACCTTTGACATCCATTCTGAGAGCAAACAAGGAGTGAAACTTAAGTCAAGAAGCCACTTTTAATTGCATTTAGTTTTGAGTACTCTTTGCCATTGGCCCTGGTGACTTTCCCAATGCTTAAGCACGTTCATAAATTAAACAATACTCGTTTAACCCGGAATTCCCTACAAGATTTTAGAGGGCTTTCGAATCTGAATTGACGCCACAGGGGAAATTTGCCAAAGGTTTTGTTGAGATCCCAAAAGGGCAACATGTTTGTGAATCATGCACGCATATGTGTACAAGCAAATATTTCTGGTTGTTTTTCATTCCGGATGGACTCAGGAGGTGCATTAAAGATGTGTAATAGAAGTTGGCCCATAGCTATATACACACTGTCTCGCCAAATTAAGTCCTGTTTATTGATGTTAAAGTGCACTTTTGCATTGAAAAGCGTCTCCTGTAGGCAGTGGTAGATTAATTCAGGAAAGCCATTGAAACATTAATTCAGTGACTGCCAGGTTGATCGAAAATGATGTCGCTTTACTGTAAACAGGTCAGAAAGATTCTCCATCTATTATGATTTGTAATGGGCAATGGGAGGGTTTTTTTTTTTGTTTATAATTAACAACCGTGTTGCACTGTTCTCTTCCTTGATGTTATGCTGAAGTGGATGGCTAATATATTTTGCCTTGGGGTGGGAGGGCAGGGGGTAATTGACTTTTATCATGGGATGCCTGCTTTTCTAATTTATTGTCTGTTATTGGTGTAATTAGCACCACAGAGAACTCAGAAGAAACAACAGTCCTTCAGACAGTAACAAAATAGTATGAACTGACTGATTTGTTGAGCATGAACTCTATGGAAATACTTGTTGATGTGTATGTTATTTCAAAGAAAATAATGTTGGCATGATTTCAGTTAAGGAAACATTTTGGAATGATCTCGATTGAGATTAGAAAACCATGAGGCTGCTGTGCTTGTACCTGAGTACAGATGCTGCAAGACCGATACTAAAATCACTGGCCTTGATTCAACCTCCTAGTTGGTATTTTGAACCGTGCAGCACATACATGTACATCACACAAACTGTTGCCACAGGCACAGTAAAGAATGGACGTACAGGCTTTGGCCTGAATGCCTAGGGTTAAAGATGCCCGAAGTTGGAGTGTATCTCCCTGTGTTCTCCAAAGTCTGTGAAGCTGCTGTAACTTTGGTTGAGACCCCCAAAAAGTACAACGTTGCATTTCGCCTGATTATTTTTGTCACCTGATGTGAATTACCTGTTCTCTCCAGTCCAACCCCGCAAGGTCTCAGCTTGCGTGTAGAGAAAATGTGATAAAGTGCCACAGTTAGGAATATTATCATCTAATAGCAGTCATTAGGCGCTGGAAATAGTTTATTTGCTGTCAGGAATTATTGCTTGTTCAGTTAGTGCAATCCCTTCACACAAAGGGATGGTAATTTCTCATTTTCCCATCTATGGTCTCATGAGTGTGCTTTGTAGCATTTTTATGATCGGACTGTTTGAAGCGTCAAGCCCAAATGAGTGTGCCATTTGTTATCATTTCTCTGTGCACTGTACACAGCTATAGAAGGAATACACAATCTGCTGCAGAGAAAGAAAGGTGTTCTTTGGGACTTTGCCAAACCTAACCTGAGGAGATTGGTAATAATAGCATCTTTAAAATTCTGTGCAGTGCATTTCCCTGAATAATCATGAAATTTACAATTCTATCTCGAGTGCAGTATGATGAGGTTAGAAAAATATAGAGACAATGAGCCCCGTGGGGGAAAGCCTGAAATAAGTTGCTGTGTATGATTCCTTGGTAAAGGCCTCTTGAAGTTCACAGGGGGATGGAAATAAGGACCATGTCAACCGGCACTGTTTGGATAATGACGACAGAATAAGAGCTAAGATCCACTTAAGTGTTTACAAGGAAGATGTCCAAACTGTTTGGTCAGCCCTCTCCTGGGTATGGAATTCCATATTGTGTGTTGGAGAGATGTCAAAATCAGGGGAACAAAGCAAACACTTATAAAGACCGCGTCACCAAACCTTACTCCTCGCCTACAGATTTTGGGGTTTGGGGATCTTGTTTGGATGGAAGCAGAAATGAGTCACATCTCCCATCTGAAGAAGATTGAGGAAAAGTCTGTTTCCTTTATGTTCTAAGATTGTTCCTTGTTGCTCATATAGCTTGTGCAAGGTGTGCCTCATAACCCAAGCTCACTAGTGATCAGGGTCGTTAAAATGTTGACTTGAGTGCGAAACTCTCAAAGATACCATGACATAGTTGAGTGATATGAACTTGTTACATCTTTATCAGCCTCCCATATTGGTTGCTTTAAACCTGGTAGTCTTGCATCCCCTATGTCAACCATTTATACATTCCCTGTGGGTTATGTTTTTTTCTTTAATTGCTTGTGTTTGCTTGAATCAGTTAGTTTTTGCATCAGGGCAAGGATTCAGGTAACACATGCAGACTTTCTGCGAATGGGCAGTGCTGAATTCAAATCCTCATAGGCTGCTTGCAAATCCATCACATGTCATCCCGGTCTAAACTCCAGCTCCAAACCTGGGCCAATTTCATAGAGCTGCCTAAGCACAAAATTTGCTTAAGCCTGAAAAAAACCTTACCCAGCAAATCAGGTTACCAGCCAAAATCCATCTGATGTATATTGGTTTGGAATGGTATTCACCTGTCTTTTATTTAGCATAACAATCACATAGATTTTGAGCTGGTAACCTTTGTTTTTTATGCAAGGTTTTTTGTGCTTAAGCAAATTTTGTGCTTAAGCAGCTCTATGAAATTGGACCAAGTTTGCACATGAACTTTGACATTCCTGTTCATGCACCCTTATACTTGTGCTTTGATTCGTCATAGAGGTGTGATTTTTGGAGCTGCATGTAAGTCTCAAATGGACCAATTTGGCACTGATACAGCAAGTGGAAAGGTTCATGTTACAGTGCAATGGCTGAGCACGGTGACTACATGTAGAACTGGTGCCCGAAAGAAGATTGCTATCCTAATCAACACCTTGAAATGTGGGTCAGCTTAACCAGTGCATTTCCTACGATAGCTCCAAGTGATGAAGAGTGTGCAGACCATGGGTTTAAGCTGCACTTGTTCTGTTTGAGGATACCTTCTAAGTGCATTGCCACACTTTTCTCTTGATTGTCTGGGGGGAGGATGTCGTCAATCAAAGAACTTGTGCTTCAGGTGACATCTGTGACAATAATCGTGGGTTTCAGATTTTTTTTTAAGTGTGTCACTATCAGAGAAGAAAAGAGCAAATTAAAGTTAGGGGCATGTTTTAAGGTGGCTTGGATGTACATGTACTAGTCATATACATGTTTGCCTTGGGAATTAAGGTGTATGTGTTTCATGGGAGTGCCCTTGAAAAAATAGTGCATACTGAAATTGTCACCTCGTTCTACAATTCATCGCGGACTTTGGTAGGGTTTCCTACACGTAGGGCTGTTTTTAGTCCATTTCCTGGCAACTGATGTCCTGCCAGACAATTTCTTACACAGCAATTCACATCTTCCCCAATGTTTTTTTCTTTAATATTCCCTGTCACTTTTAACTTCTTGTTCTCTCGCTTTGCTGGAGGGACAGTGGACTTTGCAGGATAAACTGAACAGAATTGACGTAGAATTGCGTACTTGTTGATCTGCTCATTTTGTGGTAATTTTTGATTAGGATTTGACAGAAACGAGTAAGAAGCTCGCAGAGAAGACCGGGCAGACGGCCAATGGGAGGACAGAAGGGGAGGAGAAGCAGGGGGAAGATGGTGACGAAAGTGGAGATGCAACCCGTCAGAGGTGGGGTAAAACTTGAATATTTTGCATTGATAGCAAGACTTTAGCATTGTTAATTGTGGGGAAATCACGGACTCCATTTTCCTTGCGGGGAACCTAGGTTTCTTAAGGGTGAGATTCCACAACAAACTAATCCCAAGCACAGTATTAATTTCAGCCCAACACACATGTACCAAATTTGTAAAACAGCAAGATAACACAATCACAGTCCTTTACAAAGTTAGACTCCACAAATGCTGACCCTTGGTGGTTATTCATTCAAGATTTGAGCACCATTTCTTACCACAGTGTTGGTTTTTTTTTTAATTCTGAGACAATGTTGTGGAGGGATATTTGCTACACACTCAGCCACCAGGAACTAGTTCAAAAGTTGCTGTACAAAGGGGAATCACTCGGGGGAATTTTCCCAGGCATGGAGACATTCATAGACATTGCTTGGTACTGCATACAAACTCTGCCAGAACATGTTTAAAGCATCCTCCGTGTTATAAGATATCCCAGTGTGTTTGCACATTCTCCAGCGTGAAGCAGTTAGAGCAGACTTGCCCACGTATATCCCTTACCAAGGCTTGTTCTGGTGCAAGCCTTTCCTTAACTTTGTACCTCTTTGCAATGAAACATCCCCACCACCCTCCGGCCGTAGGTTAATATCCTTCGAGGCGGACGCCAGCTCAGACAACCAGCCTGAGGAGCCCGACGAGTTTGAGAGAGTCTTCGGCACCCTGGAGATCTCTCGCAGTGTCACGGACGAGGGCGTGCAGACGCCGGATGGCGAGGGTGCCCTGCCGCTGGATTCGGGAGCGCCAGGGGACGGGGACTCGGCCAATAGGAAACCATTTGGCGTCGGGGACAAGGAGGAGAGTGCGTTTGTAAGCCTAATGGGAGGCCTGGGTGAAGGAACGGGAGGCAAGGTGCCAACACAGCAGCAAGGAAACAACAGCAATGCTGAAGGTACGATACGTGACATGCTGATCTTCTGCTTCGTTCCTGGGGATGGCAAGAAATTACCCAATAAAATAAAAACACTGCTTTCAAAAAATTTAAAGAGGCTCAGGAAAAGTGTCAAATTCAAATAATCAGATATTTGCAAGAAAGATAGAAATTCGAAGTACAGGTACATTATGAGTGTTGAAACCGTCAAACTTACTGTTGTTTAAGACATGGTGTCTAATGGTCTTCCGTAAGACACCATTTAGTGCCATTTTCACATATTTGTTTGGGGGACCAAGTTAAAGCTAAGAAATATTTTGTCCTTGTGCCACAGAGACAAATATTCAAATGCTAGGTTTATTCTGGGTGTTGATACATATAATTCCTGTGAAAAAAAAATTTATCATTGGTCCTGTAAAAGTGAAGGTTGTAAGTTAGTTCTGTTTTGTGGTACATTTGCACACTGAATCAACGGTGTCAAAAGTCACCAGTGTACATGTACATATGAGTGCGTTCAGTGCAAACCGTAACACCCCTTTGAAAAACAGGAGAGAGAAAGAGATCCACATTTGGAGATGGGTGGCATTGAAGAGGTGTTGATGGTTCCTAGCAACAGCAAGACCTCCTGTCATCTTGGTTGCTAGGCTTGTACCGGTAAAAAGGAGAGGCAAAAAGTGGGTTTGGATGCTGGGCTCCCTTTATGCTGGGCTTGTGTGTTCACTGTAATTGTATTGTGTTGGTGACTAAATTTCTTTTCTTTTCTTTTTTTTTATTGGGTTATTTTGTTCTTCAGTCGTTCGTGTTTGCTTGTAGCAGTCATGCCGGTATCCGTGAGGTGTGTTGTCTGACCACTGTTGTACATCGCCACTGCCCAAGTCAGACCGACCGTGTAGCTTTTGTCACGTTGTGTGATGTGTGCTTGTCAATCCAATCAATCGACTTCGTTTTTGTCCTTATCCTAACCAGAACTTAGCAGCCAGCAGACAGAATGAAATTAGTTTCCCTTTTGCCGTTTGGATTAATGGAATTTTTCATAGGTTGCTCCTTGTTGGAGTTTGCTGTATTTAACAGGGTCGGTGTTGATTTGAAAGTGTAGGCACTCCCTCACATGCGTCCAAGATCTGGTACTGCGCAGGGGCCCAGTGGTTTTTAGATAGCAATGTTAGTTTCCTGTTGGATCTACTTGTTATCCTCGCTGAATTCCCCCAATTTTTTCAGCTAAAAACAGATGCCTCATTGTTAATTTACATACCTGTATTCTCTACAAACATTCCCACCAAGCCTGTGCTTGTGCCTCATATACTGTGTACACACCTGGCATATTTATGGCCCAGCTCACATTCCCCGTTCAATTTGTGAAGAAATCCAAGATAATGTACTTCAATCACTTTTGGCTTTGCTGGGAATAGCTCACTTGCATATCCTCCTTAGACTTTGAAAAACAAATTGCAAAATGTACTTTTCCAATCTCTTTTTTTTTCAGTGCATCAGTAAGCAATTCTTGAATCAAATCAGGCAATCATTTTTCCCCCATTTTTGTTGAAGCAAGTAGGCAAGTTTGCTTTTCCGACCACTTTTAAGTTGTTGCTGATCCTGTAACACAAATCAAATAAGCATTTGTACAATCGCATGTCTTGCACGAATGAGATTATCTCAAAATAGCAAGTGATGGTACAGTTGACAAATGGAATCTGATGTTTTGACTGTGCACACTCGTGCAAATGAAGCAAACTCGATCTCAAAAATTTGGATGGAGTCTGCTTCAGATTGCCCGTAGTCGTCATTTTTGGCCTTTAGGATATACATGTACATGTAGTCTCATTCAAGACGGCTATGAAATATATACCAGTGTTGCAAGTAAATTAGAAATAAATAAACTATTCTACTCCCACCATGAAAAGCTCCAAATCTCATCTACCAGTGTTGCCATGGAAACTGTCACAGAGTATTTCTTCAAATTCACAAATACTATCAAAAGAAAGCTTCATAAAGAAAGAAATGCACAATAAGACGAGAGCTTTAGAGGTGCGAAAACAGAAGTCCAAATTTTCCAGTGCAATAAATAGTTCATGTACACAATACACCAAGCATTTTACTGTATACAGAGCACTTTAAACCAAAGCACTAGCACTCCCTCAGACATATTCAAAGACTTTCCGGCCTTTTTTTGTAATTGCGGATAGACTCCAGAACCCAGCAACCTCATATGGGGCCAGATTTCCCACTTTCAAAGTGGAGGAAAGTGCTTGTGGATTACTAGATAGCATTTGCAACCAAATCCCACAATATAAGTCTAAAGGTCATTTTTTCCCCCGTGATTTGGTGTCAGTTTGCACTAGAAAGAGCATTTTAGTGTGCATGAGATAGAGCAAACGAAGCTCTTCATTTCAAAGTACTTTTCAGTTTGGCATCCTAGTGTAAAAGCCCATTATATGGGTGATAACTGTTGGGAGTTCCTGCCAGTGGTTTGCACAGGGTCCATGATAGTTTTAATCAAAGGCCTTTAATTCTAAAGTGGCCCCTGGCCACTTGTGACACTGTAAAGTGGCATTGGCCACTTGTGACTCATTTCGTAAGTTTTGATCACGAATAGTAATGTATTGGGGGTTGGGTTTATGCATGGATAAATTAAGCAAGAAGAAGCTTGGTTGGTGGGTTGGATCATACTCACATGCATGCCGTACGTGTTCTTAACCCCTTCGGGACAGATGACGGTAAGAGCCACCGTAAAAATTGAGATCCTCGGCCCGCTTTTCAGCTATTATTCTCGGCCCATGCTCGAGCAAACACGGTGAAAGAAGGCAGACCCATGGTGATTGGCCTTTGTGTAGCCCAGAAATGAAAAGATCGAATTTGCATCATAATCACCAGCTTCACAATAGTCCCCACTTTAAAAAGAGGCAACGGAAATGTGGAAGCGTGAGTAGAGCCGCA